GGGTCGGTGCGCACCGACCCCTCTTGCTCTCCAGGCTTAAGGAAGCTATCCCCCCAGCCGCGCAAGCTCCCAGAGCGATGCCAAAGCTGCGAGCACCTTCGCCATCGCTCTCCGACCCGTTCGGGGGCTGGGGACGGGAGAAGCTCCGGCTTCCCCCGCCCCCAGCCCGCGCAAGGTCCCAGAGCGATGCGGAAGGTGCGCTCACCTTTGCCATCGCTCTCCGACCTGCTCTGGGGGCTGGGGACGGGAGAAGCTGCGGCTTCCCCCGCCCCCAGCCCGCGCAAGGTCCCAGAGCGATGCGGAAGGTGCGCTCACCTTCGCCATCGCTCTCCGACCTGCTCTGGGGGCTGGGGACGGGAGAAGCTCCGGCTTCCCCCGCCCCCAGCCCGCGCAAGGTCCCAGAGCGATGCGGAAGGTGCGCTCACCTTCGCCATCGCTCTCCGACCTGCTCTGCGGGCTGGGGACGGGAGAAGCTCCGGCTTCCCCCGCCCCCAGCCCGCGCAAGGTCCCAGAGCGATGCGGAAGGTGCGCTCACCTTCGCCATCGCTCTCCGACCTGCTCTGCGGGCTGGGGACGGGAGAAGCTCCGGCTTCCCCCGCCCCCAGCCCGCGCAAGGTCCCAGAGCGATGCGGAAGGTGCGCTCACCTTCGCCATCGCTCTCCGACCTGCTCTGGGGGCTGGGGACGGGAGAAGCTCCGGCTTCCCCCGCCCCCAGCCCGCGCAAGGTCCCAGAGCGATGCGGAAGGTGCGCTCACCTTCGCCATCGCTCTCCGACCTGCTCTGCGGGCTGGGGACGGGAGAAGCTCCGGCTTCCCCCGCCCCCAGCCCGCGCAAGGTCCCAGAGCGATGCGGAAGGTGCGCTCACCTTCGCCATCACTCTCCGACCTGCTCTGCGGGCTGGGGACGGGAGAAGCTCCGGCTTCCCCCGCCCCCAGCCCGCGCAAGGTCCCAGAGCGATGGCGAAGGTGCGCTCACCTTCGCCATCGCTCTTCGACCTGCTCTGGGGGCTGGGGACGGGAGAAGCTCCGGCTTCCCCCGCCCCCAGCCCGCGCAAGGTCCCAGAGCGATGGCGAAGGTGCGCACACCTTCGCCATCGCTCTCTGACCTGCTCTGGCGGCTGGGGGCGGGGGAAGCTCGGGCTTCCACCACCCCCAGCTCCTGCAAGCTCCGGGAGCAATGGCAAAGGTGCGCTCACCTTCGCCATCGCTCTCGGACCCTTTCTGGGGGCTGGGGGTGGGGGAAGCTCTGGCTTCCCCCACCTCCAGCCCCGCAAGCTCTGGGAGTGATGGCGAAGGTGCGCTCACCTTTGCCATCGCTCTCGGACCCTTTCTGGGGGCTGGGGGCGGGGGAAGCTCTGGCTTCCCCCACCCCCAGTCCCGCAAGCTCCGGGATCCACTCTGGCTCCCATTCTGGGGGCTGGGGTCGGGGGAAGCTCGGGCTTCTCCCGCCCCAGCCCCGCGTCGGGGGGGGGATAATTTTTTTCCCTTTATTTCCCCCCCAAAATCTAGGTGCGTCCTATGGGCCGGTGCGTCCTATAGGGTGAAAAATACGGTAGTCAATATAGGCACAGAGTTAATTTTTTAAACATTTTCTAATGGTGGTGTGCCTCGAGATTTTTTTCATGAAACAAGTGTGCCTTTGCCCAAAAAAGGTTGGGAAACACTGGCATAACCAAATGTGATCCTACTGACTGGAGGCAAATCCTGCCTCCTACTCTCAGTGTCCTCAGTTGGGTGGGTGGGGAAGGGCATATTTTGCCCTCCTACAACAGTTTACATTGCTGTATTTTGTTTTACTTTGACCCAATTGGCGACAATTTAAAACGAATTCTGATCCTCACAGCATAGCTCTGCTCCTTCATGCAAAAAGGCTTTATTTTAGTTTCCTGATAATGCCAACATGTGGAAGAAGTCTGGAAACTGTCGTTCATGTGTGCATGCATTAAAGTATGGGAATAAGAATTAAATTATTTCCTTTATTTTCCTACATATTTAAAACTACTGTATGTTGGTTAGAACTATCAACACACGTCCCATTCCTTCTGGACATGTGAAATGAAACGATACATAAGCTTTATGTATAAATAATAAGCTACTAGAGAAAGTCAGTTTCCGAGAACAACCTACTCAGCTTTCTGAGGGAGATAAATTTAGTGCCTTTCCAACCTGCTGTCAGGAGATATCTCAGAAGCTTCATACGTGTGTTTATACACACAGTGCATAGGAATGATTGCTGTAGCAGCATTTCTTAGAAGGATTAGAAGTTGTCAAGGTTGTAAAAAAACAAACAAAAAGTTGCTCTGTGTGAATTAAAGTTATCTAAACAATTATTAAAGTTAACAAAAATTACACACAGCATATATTCAAAGTGACAAAATTTAGCTGAGTTATCTCTCTGCCTGATTTTCTGAATAGTTGTTTGGTAACTTTCAGCAGTAAGTTTTTTCATGCCACAAAATGAATGGCTCCAATAGCTAATCATTATACACGATATCCCAATGTGAAAAAATATTCATAGAGGCTGCACATACATACCCTCCCCTCTCTCTGACTCTGACACACACACACACACAGAGAGAGAGTTTTATGCTGCATATTGTTGAAAAGACTACCTAATGGCTTTTAGCATGACAGTCAATATAGACCCTGGCATTTTTAATAACATATAGGTTTGTCTATTTTAGTTATCATTAAGTGGATCTATGATTTTTTAATTTGTAGATCCTATATACGATGGATAAAACAAAGTCTACTAAGTCCCAGGTTCATGGGAAAGTAGAGCCTCTATTTCTTATTGAATGATATACAGCAGTCTCATATACAATCAATACATACATTTTATTGCAGGAACATTTTGATCCTATTATAAGACCAATGCTATTACATTATCACTATGTTCACATTGATTAATGTTTAACTCATTCATAGATAGGTCATTTATATGTTATGATAACCTATTGTAATAGCTAATTAAACTTAACATTTTCAGTACTGAAAAAGAGAAGAAAAGAAAGTCACTCTAAATCTAATGCAGGTCACTTCCAGGTAAGTGGAAGTTCCATTGAAGGTGCTGTGAGTGATGTACAGTAAAAGATCGTCTTGCCTTGACTATTAGGAGTAAATAAATAACCAAACATTTTTCTGCATTGACTTGTTTCCCCCCCTGCACTTCAACCTAGAAAGCTCTAAGCTAGAAATGTGTGCTTTGCACTTTTTACAGAGCATTTGATTAAGTGCTGACAAAGTAAAAGATAATATAGTATAACATGTAACCACTTGCTTTTAATAATCCCCAAGTTCTTTCTTCTCATCTGTACTGTACATGCAATCCAGATACTGTTGGGAGTTAATTTTGTTCTGTCTCCAAACATATTCTGAATGGCAAAACTTAACTTCTCAGGTAGAACAGTGGAATGGTGTCCCTCAGAAGGTGGTGGTCTATCCTTCATTGGATATTTTTAAGCAGAGGTTGGATCGCCAACAGTCCTGAATGTTTTAGCTGAGATTCATGCATTGCAGGGGGTTGGGCTAGATGATCCTTGAGGTCCCTTCCACCTCTACAATTCTGTGATTAATTGTTAGCAATAAACAAGTAAAAGTAGCAAGAAGATGGGGTTTTAAAAAAACTGGCACGAGGGTGACAGAAATTGAGTGTGAAATAGAAGAAATTACAGGAGATGGGTAGAATTTACTTGGAGATGTATGGGTGGGAAGAGAAAAATATAAGAGAAAGTGTTTCTACTTAACAGCCTCTGGATGAGCATACTCTGCCTTCAAAGAGGAGGCTGTCAGTACTTTCAGAGCAAGTATCTGTACTTCGAGGAAAGCTGAGGTATGGAACTCCTTGCTTCAAGGAAAATGTGGCAGAGAATTTTGCAATTCCCAAAAATGGTTTAGATATCAGTAGAAAGTGATGTCATTAATTATCAGTGGATTATGACAAACTGTCTCCTTCTGTCACCGTTTTGTGAGTGACTCTGCCCCTGCACCACCATTTTGTGACTGGTGGGTAATTTTCATCCATTTCCAGAGGGCCTGGGGAGGGTGTGTGTGTGTGTGTGTGTGTGTGTGTGTGTGTGAAGTTTAAGGACCCTTGTTCCAGAATACTTACGCAATATTTCACTGTGCCATAAATTACACACAGAAATCAACCAGGGGCTTTTTAACTGCATACTTCCCTGATCCAGCATACATTGGTGGAATTACAGTTGGAAGGGACCTCAACGTTTGTCTAGTCCAATCCCCCAATAAGGCAGGAAATGTTCTGCTACAGAATTGCTGATAGGGCGCCATCTGGCCTCTGATTAAAAATGAGGAACTTCATCCTAGGAAAGGGTTTATTGCATTTGGAACCTGTGGTTTCGGGTCTGACCCCTTTGCTGCCCCCCCTCCCCAAAAGACAACATTTATTCCTTGCCTCTGTGTTCTCATGCTGCATCTTAACCCTGTCCTCTCCAGGCTCAGCATAACCCAACTCCTTCGCCCTTCCATTCAAAAAATCACTTCCCACCACGCCATCCATGCACGCTTGGCTGGAACTGGGCGCTTGCAAGACAAGCTGTTTAAGTTGAACCTTCATCGCGCCGCTCCGCCCTGCCTTTCCCTTTCTATTTATTGCAACAGTAACAAAAAAAAAAAGTCCGATCCGCGGGGCTTGCTTCCAACAGACCTCTCCAACCCCGACTTGAAATTGCGCAACTTGAAATGCGTCGGCGGCGCGTGCCTGGCTCCCACTTGCCCACAGCCTGGAAGCGCCATGGTGAGGAAAACCCCACACAGGGACATTGACTGAAGGGGGAAAGAAACTCCCCTCGACCTACTCCCGAGTAAACACGCTTAGCGCCGCAGTCACACACACCCCCCCCACTTACCTGGGAGGAAGCGAGGCCCGCAATGAATGCAGCAGGGCTTATTTCTGAAGGAGACCCTGCTAGGGCTGAGCTATGCATAGCCCCTTCCAGCCACCCACCCACCTGCCCCGGCCCCCTCCGCTCTCCTCACCTCCGCAGAGGCTGAAGGCACCGCGAGCGCCTGCTGCTGCTGCTGCCGCGCCGGCACCCCAGAGCGGCAGCCTCGGCCAAGCGGAGCTCGGAAGGCCCCGGGCAGCTGCAGCAGCAGACACCGGCGCGCTCGCTGAGCCCTGGCGACGCCTAAGGCAGCTGCCATGGCTCCTGCCAAGGCGAACTCGCAGCAGCAGCCGCTGTTTCCCCCGCTCGCTCCGGCACCAAACTCAGAAAGATATATACACACACACAGCTGCGCCGACCGACCGGCCGGCCCGGGCACAGAGAGGAACGGGAGGTCGGAACCCGCAGCCAATAGCGACCCAGGACGCTTCGATAGGCATGCTGGGATTTGTAGTAGATTTGATGCGTGCTGCCTCATAAACTCTCCCCAGTTGACGCGGAAGTGCCGAGCCCGGCTGAGAGTCTAAAAGTAGCAAGAGACGCTATAAGGGAGAGTTTTCTGCAGAGGCGGACTGCTGGTTTCTGAGAGGGAGAGAAAGGGGCCTTCGTGAACTTACCTGATTTGTGTCTAGTTTTTTTAAAGTGCTCTCCGTATTCGAGGGTGGGGCGCGTCAGAGGCATAAATCCAAGGCTCTGCTGAGCAGAATGAGCAAGGAATAATAATATCGTTGCACGCCATCCCTGTCTCTGAGCGGTGTGAGATTCCAGGGCTCCAGGCACTTGCCCAGGGTTCGTGTTTCCTTTTGGAAACGAGGCCCAACGGATACACAGTGGTGTCTTTGTGATATTCCTGAGCCTCTGATGGAGGGGTTTCCATCATTACACCCCAAGAGGCTCCTTACATTCGAACTGCCAGCCCATATTGCTCTCACCCCCCACCCCTTCTCCAACTTGCAAACTGCTTGGAAATACAACTATTTTCCCCTCTTGATTACATCAGGTGAATTGCAATACTGCAATTCTGACTACCCAACTTTCTGGCTGACCCAGTCTTGCTGATGGGCTTTCTTAATGGGTCATTGCCCCTCCATTTGTTCTCTTTTGGTAGCCCATCTCTCTAGGTGATTATGGCATCAGAAAACCAGCCTATCTTATATTTCAACATGGTTTATATTTTAACATGCTAATTTCAGCACCTGGCACCCAGGTATTAGAAGGGGCTGGTGGTGCAGAAATTAGAAGGGGAGCCCAGACATGCAACAAACATAACAATACCTTTTACAGTCTAAAAAAAGTTGGGGGGGTCACTCTCGTTAACCACAGACTCTGGGTATTTTCTAATAGCACCACTTATCAGCCATCTGAAGAGCATTTTTATTTTGAGGTTTCAGCTTCCAGGGATTATGAGCTCACATCAAAGGCACTGAAGCTTTCCCTGTCCCTGGAAAGAGAAGTTTCACTTGGTAAATTTCCCCCTGTTTGGCAGCTTTATAGAGTGGCCGGCCTTATTTTTAAACATTTTGATGATGTGGGCAGAGCCAAGGGTGCTCCTGCAGGAATAGAACCAATTGAAAAAACAGTGGTAAATACAGTGGTACCTCGGGTTAAGAACCTCATTCGTTCTGGAGGTCTGTTCTTAACATGAAACTGTTCTTAACCTGAAGACCACTTCAGCTAATGGGGCCTCCTGCTGCCGCCACACCACCACTGCACGATTTCTATTCTTATCCTGAAGCAAATTTCTTAACCCGAGGTAATATTTCTGGGTTAGCGGAGTCTGTAACCTGAAACGTATGTAACCTGAAGCATATATAACCCGAGGTACCACTGTATTGGATCTACAGTGCAAGCATATACACATCAAATCAAAAGTAAGTTTCATCAAGTTCAGTGGTGCTTACTCCCCCAGTAAATGTATATGGTTGCAACTTAAATTACTTTCAACATCCTATTCAAGCTCTTTCATGATAGCCAAAAGGACTAATATGAAAGCATCAGTGGCAGACCCCTCTCCCTCTCTGATAGATGCACATTCATCAGACCATGTGTAGAGTCTCTTACATCAGAAGTATTTGAGAAAAGCTGCAGTCCATAAAACATTTTGACATTATATATGTAGAAGCGCCAATGGTCATACCGTGCAATATTTAAGAAAGATGAAACTGTAACAAACATCTGTGGGCCAAAGAAGCCCCTGGCCAGATTCTGCAATGATTCTGCAATGAATAAATAATCCAAGTAAGATTCACATTTTATTAAATTCAAATTTAGTTTTGTGTCTGGGGAACCTGAAAATCCAGCCTGTGCTCCTCCCCATTTCCATTTTTGAAATTAAAGAAACATTAACTATGCTTAAAGGCTGCTTAAAAATTTAGTACTAATATTTAGAATGCTGTGATTTCAACATCTTGTTGTAATGAAAGATTTGTGTTGAAGTGGGATTCAAAAGTTGATTTCCAGCTGTGGAAAAGATGCTGTATTTCCTCTGTGTTTCCAACCAGCAGAAAGAACACAAGAACAAAACCACCCAGCTCTTGACAAGAGCCTCTTGTGTTTTGGTAGTCATAGAGCTGTCATACTAAATTTCCCTTTAATAACACGTCTTTCACGTGACATTGAATGCACTTCATGTGGAAGGACAGCTTCAGAGCACTGCTGACATGTCATTTGAGGAAAGGAGGCAAAAGTAGAAAACTGACTAGAACAGAATACATTGATTTTGCTCTCGGATCGTCATGTACTTAATCCAACCACTCCTGACAAGAATGAAAGCAACTCAAGAGCCTCAGATCTGTTGTCCTTTTGATATAAACTGGTTAACTTAACTGTAATTTAAATCAGGGATGGAGCACCTGTGGCCTTCCACATGTTATGGACTCCAGCTCCCATCAGCCCCAGCCAGCATGCCCAATAGCAGAGCCAGCCTGGGTGAAATGCTGCCTCAAGTGGCAGAAGTGCCAGAGGTGGCGCTCTGCGTCACCCCCCCCTTTCCGCTACCGAGCAGGCAGCATTCTGGCACAGAGAAGCCAACTGAGCAGCAACACTTGGAGAAGCACCTGGCTCCCACCGAGTTTGGCACAAACCAGGGGGATGGAAGTGGCAGATGTAGGTCGTGGCACACAGGGCCAGGAGTCGCCAATTCCCATTTCACCACAGATTGGCAACCCCTTGTGTAAGCAAGCAAGCAAGCAAGCAAGCAAGCAAGCAAGCAAGCAAGCAAGCAAACAAACAAACAAACAAACAAACAAACAAACAGGGTTCTGCACCAGTCAGGTTCATCGTTCTTTTTTTAATTACCTATCCAAATCAGTTCCAGATCAGACACTGGCTTCAAAATATGGTTTGGCAAATCCGCTCCACTTCTCAGTGGGGAGGAGTTGCGGTGGACTGCGTGGTCAACCACTCCCCACCGGGGGCAGGGGACTTTGTCCCCTGTTGCCTGGAGATCCCAGCCACATCAGAGCCCGGCCAGCCAATCTGCAGCCAATCAGTTTGGCCACTCTGAACTTGTTTTGAACTAGTTTAAAAGGTAAAGGTACCCTTGCCCGTACGGGCCAGTCTTGACAGACTCTAGGGTTGTGCGCCCATCTCACTTAAGAGGCCGAGGGCCAGCGCTGTCCGGAGACACTTCCGGGTCACGTGGCCAGCGTGACAAAGCTGCATCTGGCGAGCCAGAGCCGCACACGGAAACGCCGTTTACCTTCCCGCCAGTAAGCGGTCCCTATTTATCTACTTGCACCCGGGGGTGCTTTCGAACTGCTAGGTTGGCAGGCGCTGGGACCGAGCAACGGGAGCACACCCCGCCACGGGGATTCGAACCACCGACCTTTCGATCGGCAAGCCCTAGGCGCTGAGGCTTTTACCCACAGCGCCACCCGCGTCCCTTTTGAACTAGTTTAGAATATGTAATATAGGATCTAGATGAATTCAAGGACCCCACTATAAACAAATGTCAATATTATCGTTGTTTGCAGTTGCAATCCATTTCCAGTTAAATAACTATTACGAGAAATAAGTAGCTTATGAAAAAATGTATTTTGATATGCTAGTTCAGCCTTTGCCAACTTGGTGCCCTCTAGATGGTTTGGACTATAGCATCATCCCCCGAGAGTACAGCTATTGGTGAAGGGTGTGCTAGTTCCATGTATGACTAACACTACATCCTGCAGAGTTTTGTCAATTATATGGCAAACAGAATGAGTGCTGAGTGTCCAAATATCTTTCCCACACTGGCTTGCATAGCAGAACCGGAAAATATAATTTGAGCTCATTTCAGGCATTTTTGTTTGTTTGCATGTCTCCCAGCACTGAAGAACAGCAATCATGGGGCTATTTGATAAATCTGTGACACGATGATCCCATTTACAATTCTGTGTATAGTTCTGCTCATCCCATTTAAAAGTACTATGGAGTTAGGAAAGGGAGAGAATTTTTTATTTATCTAATATTGAATCAAGTGGTAACCAACAACCAAAGATAGAAAAGGCATGTTTAATACATTGAGGAGGGAAGGAATTTTGAGTGGGATAGTGAAGCTTGGTTCTTTGACAGTGACTCGTTCCTCTATCCCAGCCTTTGAGATTTCACACTGCATTCCTTATATGCCTCTGAAATTTCACAATGCATTTCTTTTAGCAGCTGCTAAAAGAAAAGAAAGCTGAATAATGAGCCCAATATTTTATCCTTTGCTTACCAGAGGTTGCCAACCTTTTTGAGCCAAAAAGTGTTGTGGGTACTGGTCACAAAATGACTGCTGTGGGGGCATAGCATAACATAATGGCTGCAGTGGGTACATGACGTAACAACCACCATGTCTTAAAGAGTGGGGGGAAACCAGGGACTCGGCTATACTGCTGCAAATAAAATGTTTTAGGTATGCTTTAAGTGTTATATACAACTTGACACTAGATGGGGATGGTGAGCCTTCTAGAAATTTCAATTTCAATGGGTAACCAGCCTATTTTTTTTTTTTAAAAAAAAGCATTTTCAGAATGTTTTTTATATGTGTGTAGATTCCAGGTCCACAAAATGGTATGGCCATGCACTCATCAGTCACCACTATGCTTGCTCACGGAGAGAAGCTCTTTGCACCTCTCCCAGCTTCAGAACAAATAGAGTGGGCATACCATCCTGGGAACCAATGAAATGTGGGCATGTTCAGGGGGGTGTCTTCAATGCAGGGGTTGCTGAGTGAGTGAAAACTGGAACTGAGCAGGAAGAGCAAATAATCTCTTTTTTGTACGCCACTTTGTCAACCCCTGATTTATGCAGAGTCACAAAATAAACAGTCTTCGTATAACATAATTTGTATAGTCCATAACATAAAACATAGAGTCTATTTATAAAATAAATAACAAGTAACTATTTCACGGGAGTAAAGGAGCTATCAA